CTTTTTCCTCTTCCTTTTCCTCTTCCCTTTCAACTTCTACTGGGTTCAATGGAAGCAACAGCTTTGTTGGGGATTTTTGAACCCAACAGATTTGCTAGATTTTGATTGGTCTGGGTTTTTCTTCTTCTTACAATTGATTTTTGGTCTTTGCTTTCAATGCTTTAGTTGGGTTTTTGTCAAAATTTGATAGAAGAAAACCTTGATTTTTTTTGGGTTTTTTTGGAGAATTTGGGTTTATATTTATGTTATACTTGGATTTGATGTTAGAAGGTGTCTGGGTTTACAGAAAGTGAAAGGAAAGGAAGAGGAAGAAGAAAGGGAAAAAGGAAAAACAAAGAAAGCCAAAAATGGGCGTTCGATTTCGAACCCAACAGTTGCTAGGTTCTTTCGTGGGTTTGAAAAACTGGTGATAAAAGTGGTGATGAAAGTGGACTTGGAGAAAAATTATTGATGAATTGATTGTTTGATTCAGAAAAATGGTGATGAAAGTGGATTTGGAGGAAGAGAGAGAAAAAGAAAAATGAATGAAGAAGATTTGAGAAAAAAAGATGCTGAGGAAGAAAAGGAGGGTAAAACTATAATTTTTAATGAATTAGATAATTATATTTTTAACATGTCATTTATTTATCCATGCTGTTAAGTTGAATATTACATGTAGAATATGTGTTTCCAATAAAGAGTCAGACTCTAAAAGCTAATATTTGACTTTTGAGGCACTCACAGTAGACTCTAAAAGGTAAAGATTTACCTCTCAAATTTCAAAGAGTCAAGAAGTTCTGAATACAGGTTAGAGTTGACTCTCCATATGAAGAGTCGACTCTTAATGAGAAAGAATCCACTCTCATTTTTAATAATTGACTCTTGAGCAAAAATATCTTAGATTTATATGTGAAACACTTATGTAAATTGAAAAAGATGTCCACATTATTTTTTTAGATAAATTAGAGATTTAAATCATTTAAATAAAGAGTAAATAATGTAATTATATTAATTAATGTGTTAAATGTTAAGTAATATTTAATAAAGTCATAAAAATCAACTAATAATTTCAATTATAAAGATAAAAATAACTTTTTTTTAAGTACATGAATGACACAATGAGTGGGAAAGGTAATTTGAATTTTTAGCAATGAGATACATGTCATGATGAGTTATAACTTTTCAAATTAAACCAACTTTTAGCAACATAGAATATGTTGCTGATTGGGGGCAAACCTTTTAGCAACATGATATGTGATGGTGAAGGCATTATATATACTCCTACCCTAATGGGCTGATCAATTCTTTCATATTTCTCCTCCCATTCTCTCCTACATGTCTCCCGTTCTCTCCTGCATGCTCTTTGCACGCCTCTTCCATTTCTCAACCTTTTTTTTTTTTTTTT